GTCATGCCCCAGGACGACGATCCAATCTTCTTCCTGAGACAGATAACACTTCCTTCCTTTAAACAATAACCCCACGAGTCACGACAATCCGAACAACCCTACGTTCGTGCACTCGAAGCCGCCACCTCAGGTGGCAGCAGGTTCGATGTTGCGAGTGGAAGGATTTTCGGTCAACAAAGTCAATGCTTCCTCTAAGGATACAATAGAGTTAAGCCCCGAGGTGACTGCCACTACGGAGACAACCTTGGGGTTGTCGGAGTCGAAGCAGACCACTGAGGCTCAGAGCAGCCAGCTGGCGACATTTGAGCCCGACTTCGACGGGGATCTAGCTTATTATCATGGTGGTGATGGCAGCATGGTTGTTGAAGATATTGATCATTACTCCATTTGGGACTACTTGTTGATCCATCATCAAAAGAAACACGAAGAAGAGCATATATATACGTACTAATCTTTGAATACAAATTAGTCTATTGTAACTTACACTATCTTAATTCAGATGTATTGTGTATTTATACATTTTATCCATGTAAGCATTAGTCATATACCAGCTAGCACGTTATACTTGATCAATAATAACGTTACATGTATAGGATTATACGAAATACTTCGTATTATTAGTTATTTAATTTGTTCAATTGTTTGTATCTTGCCGACATACATGTATAATACATTTGTATAATTAAATTAATAAATTAAAGAATCCTTGTTATTTTATACGGAGTAGTCTAGCTATTAAGTAGCTTAGCATATAAAATGTCTACATAGTACATACATTGTGTATTTCTTTACTAATCCCAGTTATTTATCTGATCTGCTTGTTGAATTGGAATAATGCTTTTGCATTTTCTATTTTACTTTTGATCCCACGAATCATTAAGAGTCCACTTGGAAAATCTATTTTACTTTTGATCCCACGAATCATTAAGAGTCCACTTGAAAAATCTTAATCGAGAGAATGAATAGAAAGGAAAATTTGAAGGAAAGAAAACTAATTGTTGGGGAAAAATTGGATCATACTCAATAAGCAATATTTAGATATTTAATCTAACTAATATAGTTTTAATTAGGGAATTAATTATATTGATATATACACAGCGGCGGACACAGGCAGGGGCAAATAAGGGCCGTCGCCCCTCCAAATAATATATTTTCTAGGTATATTGACCCCGAAATTTTAATATATATGTATTTATATGTATTTTTTTACACTGTTGCCCCGCCAATCGAAAATTTCTGCGTCTGCCACTGTATATACATCTCATGATTTATTTTAAAAAAACTGTCATTTTACTTTCATGTTTTTCTATATTTTCATTTTCCCCTAATGTATCTGAACAGAGAGCAGCGATGGTAACCTAGATTAATTTAAAATATATAGTGCTTATAACTATTACTCCGTATAAAAATGGACATTGGAACCTAATCATCATTCATCTTAAACTTTTTTTTAAAACTATTATAATTAAAATTTTAGTACTATATATCCACTGACCTTAATCCTGTGGATATTTGGTCTTGGTTTTTCACTACTAAACAAATGCTAAATTTGGGGAAATTTTGGAATTGCTTCAATTCCGTCTTTAATTTTCTATCAAATTTCAGGTATCTTCTCCGAAAGGTCGTCTTCCGACTTCCAATAACCATTTCTTTGAATGTCTAGCATTTCACTACTTGAAGTGCTGTGAAGTGAAAACTTTAGAATCTAAATAGTCATTGTTCTTTGTACATTTAAGTACGTTCTTTTCATTGTGCATCTTAATGGAGTAACAATTCACTCCTCCAAAAGGTTGAATCCCCAACCTCAAGTCCGGGGCAGAGCAGGGCATTGGACCGGACTGAACCGATACAATATAGCCATTGTTTAAATTTGGGCATCTTTTACACTAAAAACATAGACATTTTTTAAATCTGGGTTGGGCCAGGGTTAGGCTGACCCTCCCCTGATACGTCCCTACCTAAGCCACCCACGTCCCGACCTGACAAGATATATAAGTGGTTTTAAATCACGGTGACTCAGTCAGTCCAATGCTGATAGACTTTATACCCATGTGCACCAAAGGTCTAGCCGTCCAGCCCAGCATGCAGAAGTCGTAACCTCCACACGGCCGTTGCAGGTTTCGATTTTTTGTCATTCTTTCAATTTTTCTACTCTCAAATCTCAACCAACTGAGTTATCCACGCGGGTTGAGATGACAATTCACAATTTTACAGGTTAACTTCACGTAAATGTTATTTACTCCAAATAATATTCAAAAACTACGCGTATATGTACTAACTGAATAAAATTGATAATGTAAAAATCGAATTGAAAATTACTATTTAAACGCAAACAATGCGTTCAATTATACTACGTAATAAGAATTTGTACTCCAGATATGTCAACGAGTAATTGCATTCACCAATGAACAATACGATTACCACCAAATTAGGGGCACATAGCTTAATGTGCATTAAGTACTAAACACCCTAATGAAGACATAAACTTTGAACACGGCCTTTGTCCATTCGACCATTCTTCATAATCTATATTACTCTACAAAGAGTATGGATCACACTTAGGCGGTTAGGCCACGGTCTATCCAAAATTGAAAATGCTTTAAAATTATATGTGAAAATTTAATTAAGATTTTTGTTTAAACCGGTCCAGTCTATTATACCTTTCTAGTTGTGCTATTGATCATTCACACCTCACACTGACCTTGATAGTAACAGGTGAGTGTGAATCACATTTCACGTAATCCTTTAATTCCAAAATAATTTGCAAATGCAATAATTTTGTTAACACGATTTCACTTTAAATACTTATTTAACATATCATTTTGTTATTATATTTTAATTTAAACATTACAACTTTATAAAGTTTTCGAAGTAATTTCCGAATATGTAAATTTTAATTATCAAAATTGATATATCTATTTTGCAAGATCTATTTTGCAAGAACAGTTTAACCTGATTGCCAATCAACTTTAAAATTCACAAATTCCATTCAATTTGGGACCGTGGAGTATAAATTTACGTCGCAAAAGATTCTAAAATCAAACATCATTATGAGAATTTAAAAGGTTTTCTAAAATGATGATATTCTAGTCCTAGGTAAGTTGAGTGGTTGCTTAATTTGTGTTTAATTTGGTCTCAAACATTTTAAACGCCAAAGCCATACTGGCTATATATGAAGACGTTTGTGATTACATCGCTCATAATAACAACCAATAATAACTACGGAGAATATTTTGTTTGTAGCGTGTATTCAAAGAAGAGTTGTTTTTCTTAAATTGACCATATGTATTCAGTTTTGTTTTTCATATTAACTTCTCAAGTTGTAATTTTAGGGGTATTTGGAAGGGATAAAGACTTAGATAGTAGAGTCAGATCAAACTGGTGTCTCCCAACTTTTAAAAAACTGTTAATATGAATATTGGAAGCATTCAGAAATACTTCTGCACTTTTTCCTGAACACTTCAATACTCCTTCCGTCCTAAATTGTCAGACATTTTACGGTTTACGATGTTTGACCGATGATAAAGCAAACAGATTCTTGTCCGCACTCAAATTATTTTTAGAAGAAAGAATTACATACTCAAAAACGACATTAAAGCTTTACAAAGTCTCAAAAGACACAATCAAATTTGATAAAAATTTGATATATAAAGTAAGAGATTAAGAAAAATTTCTGTTGACTAAGTGAATAAGAAAAGTATCTTACAAAATGGGACTAATGGAGTATTTATTTATATTCCTTGAAGTAGATCCAAACACTCTAAATACAAAGTACACGTATAAAAATAGGTTCTTGTAATAGAATTTGAGTGGGATTACAAAAAAAAATTGGGAGCATCTAATTGGTTATTACACACCAGAATCAAGTGGGTAAAGTATGAGAAAAACGAGGTAAAAATTGACAGTTGGATCCAAGGCCTTTCTGTATCCAGTAAATTGTCTTTACTGGTTGTGGCCTAGTGGGTAAATAACTAACCAGAAAGATGGAAGCACTGTGGCAGGGGTGGGTAATCAAATTTGACACTCTGTTTCTTCAGTTTCAGGAGTCAATTAATGCTCAAGATAAGAATGAATGAATGAATTGAAGACCAGACCAGAGTTATTTACTGCCTCGCAACGGTACACAAAACTCGACACACAGTCAAACTTGCAGCTACCTAGCTATTTATAGTAATAATGAAATTAATAAATAAAACAAAACGACACACTTGGCAAGAAAATGAAACCTTTCCATTTTTCTTGGTCAAAAGGCATCTCTTTTTCAAATCATAGTACCTATCTCATTTAGTATAGAGATTCTAGAATTACAAATTGATCACATAGAAAAAAAGTGGTAAAACTTTTAGAAAAAGAGTTGACAAAACTCAATAACACGTAGCAAGCATTAACATTTGGTTTTTAGAATTGAATAAAGCTTCTAAGTCGATCACTTTCAAAATTTGTACATTTTCGAAGGCCATGTGACAATTGACAACACATTATCCCAAATTTTTAAGCTTTAACAATGTTTTATCAAAAACATTTTTTTTGAAGTGCAATAGATGTTTAACGATTAAGGACTAACTTTTATAGCCCCCAAATATTTAATACGTAGTATGTTGTAATTATAAGTTGTTTTTAGATGTTATGTATTATTCCAGATTCTCAAGACCTTCTTTTAAACCTTCTTTTAAGAGGTGCAACAAATGTTTAACATCAAGATTAAGGACTAACTTTTATAAGGCCCCCCAATATTTAATATGTTGTAATTATAAGTTATTTTTTAGATGTTATGTATTATTCCAGATTTTCAAATGTATAATTTTTAGTATTACTCAGTATTTCACAGAAATTTAAATATGATTCCCTTTCCCTCGTTGCATCCTCCAAAAAAAATTAATATATCAACCATAAAAGATGTGTCCTTTTGGGCTGGTCTGATCTAATCTGTCCGATCTGATATAATTTGGTCTGATAAATGTTTGCTCTCTGTGTATGTTGTAACTATAGAAGTATAGCTTGAGAATGAAAACAGTTCAAAAGAAATTTGTAACAAACAAATAAACTCGACAATCTATTTTGAGTAGGAGGAAGTGATGAATAAAACAAGCCAAATTAATAAGGGAGTAGAATATTGATCCAACCCCAAAACATAACTGATTACATTTGTACCAAATTAAACTTCCATTTTAAAACAGAAGTCATACAAATTCCTGCTAAGCTAAGATGGCTACCACACAAATATCCCCCAACCCCAACGAAACAACATAGCAACCTATCATAATAATTTAAGGAGAGTTTGGGAGGAACATTCAGATAATGCTAAAATCATATAAAATTTACTCCAAATTGATCAAATGAATGAGTGAAACCAAGTTAATTAATTTTACCATTATCTGAATATTTTTCGCTAAACCTCTCCTTACCATTCTTAAAAGCAATGTGAATCAGTTAAAATCGAAAATCTGAATCTCTGCATGATGAGCTCCCTCCATGCATTGCCTCCTGCAAAATAAAAACACCAGAGATCTCATTCCAGCTGTAATTGTAATATATTGTATAATTTTCAAAAACAATTAATGTAAAAGATAATATACTCTGTCTTCTAAATCGTCGTTCAACCATTAATGTAAAAGATAATATACTTACAAAATCTATATAAATTCACATTTCAACGATATTGCCCGAGTATTAAAAAGTTTGAAACAATTAATACCATAGTATATATTAATTAAATATACTATCCTAGATAGTATATGATTAAAATAAAAGTTATTTTAAAAAATATAACCTCTTAATTGTAGTTCCTACAATAGTAACTTATTCATAATAATTTATTTCGAATTTTTACATCTAAGTTGCTATGAGATTATATTTTATGTAACGGTTAATAGAAATACGAAGTATAAATCAATTTAATTTCATTAACATTTATGAAGGATCTCTAAAAGCATGTAAAATTATTTGAAAATTGTGTCCTAAATAGAAGTAAATACATTTGTCTATTACAAAAATAGATTAATCATGTTTTTATTCCTTAAATAAGAGTAATTATTGTCATATTTTGGCAATATTAAACTCCAATTATGCCAATATTTTGGAATTCTGAAACGTTTTTAATTCTACTTCAAGAATTTTCCTAATTATTTTCGTATAATAAAGCAAAAAATATCATTAGGCCCTGTTTTTTGTACACTTAATTTTGTTGGTATCAAAGGGTTGATCTAACAAAACATACGGAGTACAATTTATCTAAAAATGTAGAAATTTTAATTTTTTACATATTGTCCGATAGATAGCCTATATGTACAAAATGTGTACAAAAATGGATCTTTTTGAACATGTATATTCACCGTACCCGTGAGTTCTTGGCGCCGCCGTGAAGAACCACCGCCTCCTCCCTCTTAGCATCTTCAACCTTGTCCACTCTTTTGGAGCCAATGTGAGATTTGCGGAGACCCAAAAGGCCTTTCCATCTGGTAGAACTCTTGGGAGGCTTGAAAGAAGACAAATCGCTATCCTCAACAAGGAGCTCGTCCTTGAGGGTGGTGGGCCTGTTAGGTGGCGCCGCCGCTGAGCGGACGGTGGTCTCATTGTAAGGCAGGAGCCGGCCCATGGAGAAGAGCTCGTCGGCGGTCGTAGTCGCCGGCGGATAGTTGGAGACGGAGAATTCGAAGTCAGAGGAAACAGGGGCGTCTCTGTAATAGGACCTCTCGTTCTTGATGAAGTGGGGGTGGTAGTGGCCGCCGCCGCCGCCGCCGGACTCTACGAAGTCGTTGGAGAAAGAGATGCGAGGGCTCATCGGAGCCGCCATGGGCGGCGGTTTGTGGTCGGAGTTTTGGTTGCTGTTGTGGTTGTACATGATGATGATGATGTGTAATCATCCATGGAAGGTAGGGGGCTCTTTAGACCAACATTTTTAGGGCAAAATCACCCATCCGACCAACTTAAGGAGGTCTGGAGATGGAAGCAGACGGAAGTTTCCTCCCCTTCTTTCTTTCACTTGTTCGTAGGAAGGAAGTATATATGTGCGTAATTAATTCTCTTAAATGGTTCCATCCGGGGTCCCACTTCCCGACCCGACAGGACATAAGAATCTGTTCATCCAAAAAAAGGACATAAGAATCTGTAAATCACGGTGACTCAGTCAATCGGTGATGAACTTTATATTTGTGCGTATTAGATATCCAACCCAACACACCCGAGTTTGTAATCTCTATTCGGCCGCTTCGAATTTGCTTCGAATTTTAATCTTTGATCATTCTTTCGACTTTTCCATCACTCAATCAACTTAGATACCTATGCTAACATATGCCATATGCGTAATTAATTGTACTTAGGCAGGGGACCCTGCATCCAGCAGGCAAGTAGATGGGTGCATTTAGATCGACATAGTTACGACAAACTCTACCTGGCTACTTTCAATATAAGAGGAAATTTAAATATGACTCTTGACTCAAACTTCAAAACATGAGGAACACCCATGCCTCTCCACATAGTAGAAATAATAAACTCATCTTTGAAAATTTTGCTCATTTCATTTTGCTTTGTCAATAAAGCATCTTTGGACTCAATCGACAAGAATATGTATTGAAATTAATAAAAGAGGAAATTATTCATGCTGTCTAAACCATATGTTTTGCTTTCTTAAAAAAAGGATTAAATATAAAATTTATATCCCTAATATAATTAATTAATGTTTTGTATAATTAATCGAAAAAATGACACCTTTATTACTTCTAATAATTTCAATTTCAAGAAACTGACTCTTTTTACTTTTTCATGAAAATAGACTCATCGCATTTATTACCTAGTGTTTCACATGAAATTTCTAATTTTCATATTACATTTTTATGATAAAAGTAATTAGAACATTTACAATGCTAATGACATTTGACCCCATACCTTCTCTTTCATATCATTTTTCTCTAAAAACTCAATCTCATCCAACCTATTCCATTTCCTCCCCATTATGGTGACCTAGGTCACTTAAAATTTTTACACTCTCTCTGCTTATTTTTGATACTATCCACCTGATGGAAAGTCTACCCGGGGGGTATCTTATCCGGGGGGTTATTGCGGGAATAACTAGAGAGAAGTCAGAGCAAAATAGGAGGAGAGAGAGTCGATTTTATTAAATGAACTCGAGATGTGGAGTTGAATCTGGGATCTGGTGTCCTTTACAAGGAGAAATGGACTGCTATTTATAGCAGCAATAAATGCGATGAGAATACACGTGTCAGTAATCCAACGGCCGAAGGGTCACATCAGCCGGGTGGCACCGGCAGTGATACGTTCACCGCATTGAATGCGGTTGGCGGATGTGACGTGGCATTAAATGCGGTGGTTGGCTGTCTCCAAAGGGAATCTTCGATGATTGAGCGTGTTTGGCCGAAGGCTCCTTGTGTAGCCGAGGGCTCCGCGTGACTAAGGCCAGGTTCAGCCGAAGGCTTCCCTGATGCCGAGGGCTTGGTAATGCCGGGGGCTCATGTTTTCCGCCGTTTTCTCCCAGTAGCTTCTTATGTCAGAGAAGGCTATCCTGTGAGTTTTGGAGCCTTCGGCCAAGGAGGCCGACGGCATCCCAGTGTGTATTCTGGGCTACTTTGAGGCCTGGGCCGTCGCACTTGGGCCTGAGTTGTTCTCTGGGCTCAATGGACTTGTGTAGGAGAAGTAGGAGTCTATGGGCCGGGGGTTCCTGGGCCATATACTCCATCACCACCATTATTAATTTATTTAATTTGAAAAGGGAATAGTCCATATAAAATCCACATTTGACCCACTGTAATTATTTATTGTGAAAAATAAAAATATAATTATGTTAAAAAATTGTTACATATCCTTAATTCAGAGTAAAAATGTTCTAAAACAGATCAAATAAGATGCAAGAAGGAAAGAAATGGTAAATTTTGAAGTAACTAAACAAATCATTCATTATTGTCTATGTATAGAGAAAAAAAATTTAATTTTATGATATAACTTTATTTTTTAAATTAAATTTAATGCATAATAAAGGAAACTAAGGAGTTGGGAGTAGTTGATTGAGTTGGTTCCAAGTAAAATGCCACTTGACATTTTCTAATGGGTTAGTTACAATGCAATTGTCAGCTCCCGTTCATGACCTTCCTTTTTGGTATCATTTGGGGAAACGGTTACCCGTGGATAAACCGATTCCCCGTTGGGGCCGGTATGGTTCAAGTAAAAATTACCCGAACGGGTAATGGGGCGATTTTGGGGCAAACATTTATCTAATGGGACGGTTTCGGTTTTATGTGTACCCGTCCCCGATCCGCCCCGTTGCCACACTACTTTGCACGCTCCACCCACCCGCCGCAGCCGCCCCACTACTTGCCACCGCCGCTTTTGCCACCACTGAAACATCATTATTGTTTATAGTAACTATGAAAGTCCTGTTTAGTGGTTTGTCCCAACTTTATGTAACCGAAACTGACTGTTACTATCAAAGTTGAATGATTTCTTCCTAACTACATTTGCAATGTAGAGCATACAATAACTTAGCTACAATTTAAAACATGGGAAAAGGATCAGATAGGCCTTATATAAAAAGGTCAAATAATTTGGTATGAGTAAATTAGACTTAATGAATAAGATGCTTAAAAAATTTCATCAAAGAATTCCACCGGGAATCGCCCCAAATGGCGACGGCCGGACAAAGCCTCCTATATAGAGGCTTATTTGACATTTTTATGTAAATTCGAGGGTCTATCTGACCCTTATCCATTAAAACATTAACTATTTTAGTGACTCCCAATATATTGGTTAAAAGAATGATTATTAGTTACTAATGACTACGAGGACTTTTGTAATAAGAAAAGTGATTCCTAGTACTACACAAACATATTCTTCCAATGATGATGTTGTCACCACCGAATATGATGTTAAAAGAAAGAATTAATTACATAAATATTACGTACTACATACTAAAACTACATACTAAAATAAAGATGATGGATAAAAATGTGACACCATACATAATAATAACTATATTAGTAACCATAAGTACTATCATTATATTCAATTCTACACTATAGTGATCATCATGTTACATTAATATTAACTTTATTCATTAAAACCTATCCTTAAAACCTCATGTGATTGGCAAACAGTAATATAATTGGAAAGCTATCTTTGAAGTCACTTTTTTAATATTATTGATAATATGAATAAAACGTCAATATTCAATTTTTACACTTAGTGATCATGATTCATGATAATATTGTACTTGTAATATTTTAATCATATTTTTATTAAAAAATCTATTTCAGTGGTATGTAAAAAACACTATAAGTTATTCAATTTAAAATTATACTCCGTTTTAAACTTTAAAAATTATAAGTCTGTGTTATTAACATTATTTTTCTTTGCAAGTTGGCCTTATTATATTACGGAGTATTATATACGGAGTAGAATAGACTGAATGCCCACGGACGACGTAGATATGATTTGATCATTAGTGCTGGTTGTACTAAAACAAAAGTCTCTAATTCTATATGTCGGTTGTTGATCTTTTTTTTTTAAGAAAAGGAACTTATACAGGTTTAATCAAATCGTTACTGATAGTGATAGCTAGATCGCGAAACAATACTTATTGAGGCATAATACCAATTACAATAAATTAAACATGTAAGAAGTACTAGTATTAACTATGGACATATGAGGTAGTCATTCCAAATACACGTCCATCATATTTTATCTAAGCTACTTTTTTTAAAGTAATTTTTTTGTGTAAAAAAATATATATTAAATTGTATACCTACTCATCTTGAATAATTTTCTGTAGGTCTAGTTGTGCAATTGATTATTTCCTAAAACCGATCTAAGTTAAAGTTATCTGTGCGGGAATGATTCTTTTCTACACAAACGTATTTTTGAAAAATTACAGAAATGAAGTTTATTTACAAACTAATGACTGATAATTACTATCTCATAGGCTCATAGCAGACTCATATATAGTCGTTTAAGGACAAAAATTGAACATAATGCTGCCTCCGTCCCTAAAAGGTTCACCAAATAGACTTTTCTTGATTAATTAATTTTGACAATTGATATTTTTTAATACAAAATTATTTTGAATATCAAAATTATATTAAAATGTTCCTTATTGCCATAACTGTCGCCTGTTGCAGCCACAATTGCCGCCGCCATCCAATGACTTTACGGCAAGCGTAGTTCAGTGACTTCATCACCCTATTGGTTTAGTGACCTAAAGATTTTCTCCGTAGATAGTCATTTACAGGGCCGGCCCTGGGCAGGTGTAGCCAGCCCAATCGCACAGGGCCCAATTTTTTGGAAGGCCCAAAAAATATTTTATTTTACTATTAGTAGAACTATCTGCCAGCCCAAGTTCGTAGCTTAGAAGGAAATTCGGAGCAAAAGAAGCCGCCAGAAGGGAACTTGCCGAACACTGGAAGAGAAAGTGTCGCTTGAACGTGGAAGAGTGAACGTCTGACCGACAACCGCCGGCACCCAGCGCCAACGAATCACGACCACACCACCCGCACTCGGCACTACCGCATACCCACAGTCTGGTAGTTATTTGTTTCTGATGTCGTTAATTTCAAATTAGTGAATTACAGTTCGTGACCTGCTTGCCTTGTTGTTATTTGTTTATTTATTTATTGTCTACTGAAATTAAGTAATTGAATAGATAAATGATAAATTGATAATAAGTGTCTTTAACCATTACGATTTAAGAAGTTTGTATAAGTATGTTATTAGGTAACTACCTTCTTTACTTCTTTAGACTTTAGGTTTAGGTTTATAAATTACAAATTATAATTATATTTTTTAAATACGATGAGATCAAAGAAGGACCTTTGGGATTGGATTAGAATACAGGGGAACCAAAAGGGTTCTGTTTGTTAGTTTACAAGACTGTATTTCTTCAGCAATGTTGCAGCAGAGTTGGACTCCAAGAAGTTGTACGATTTGTTTTCTACTATCTTTAGGTTTGTAAATTATACTAG